AAGTGAACAACAGAACATATGGGATTAATTCCAATAGAGACTGGCCCGACCCCCAAACTCCACTTTTTGACGACACACAACTATGTTGTAGTAAAAATATTATCTTAACTTTATGATGGTATGCACACACAATTAATAATTAAGAGAAATATCAATAATATTAGGTTTCTTAACACTTACATTAGTAGAAAAGATGGCTGGGCACACGGGGATGGGGGTTGGTTCCGAGGCAGAGGGCAGATTATTGGCCCTCACCTGTATCACTTGTATCAATTGTATCACTATCCACCACAGAGGCTTGCAGGGCCTCTTTGTCAAACCCTCAAAGTCCATATAAGTCCATATCCTCACTATAATTATCACTATCACTGACTTGGGCCGGCTGTGGTGGGTGGCGGGTGAAGAACTCGGTAATGTTTTGATGACTGGGCGACCTTGTGCGCATCGTGCCCGCGCCGCTTCCCACGTATATGAGTAGATGAACCGCGTTAAGTGAAAGTTCGGTTCTGGCGAGGCACCACGTATATGAGAAATCGCGTTAAGTGAAACCGCGTTAAGCGGGGTACAACTGTAATTAAAATGTACATATTTTGTACATTAACTTTACAACAACAACAACCAGTCTTATTTTCTTCAGTTTCAGGTGGATAACTGACATTATGAGTGTAAACACTGACAACAATGCGGTCTCTTATCCTCTTGTGTGTTTTAATATTCTGCGAATTATTAATGAATTGTATTGTTCATTTCGCATATATAAAGATTAATTCAATCAAATACATATTCAGTAATAAACAATAATGAATCTTTTGGACATATTCTTAAAACGATAAATGACGCGATATCCTTAAATGCGCACGTATATGTTGGCGTTCCCAATCCCTCTCTTTTTTTCTCTTTGCCATTAGTGGTTAGCCATTTCTATTGTTCCAATTATTAACATTAAACAACGTTACTTAAAACATATATATATTCATTTTTGTACATTAATTTTACTACAGCTACAACCAGGGTCTTATTTTCTTAATTTTCTCGTGTAGAACTATCGTCCCGGACTCTCGGCTGTAAACACAAACGAAAACAATGGTGTCCCATCTCCTCTAGTGTGACCATATCATTATTCATTTATATTGTATAAGGTGCATTCAGAAACATTTTTTAAAGAATATAGTTTGCAATTTTCATTAATTATATTGTTTTGGGGGGGAAAAGAGGGTAAAAAGCCACACAAAAGATATGAAAAGGTCACACTTGGGAACACATCTCATTATTATTGCTTTATTATAATGGTATTTAATGATTCGCGATACGATGATTCACCTTACACTGCAATATTGGATGACACATTACCGTCGTTATTCGAGGCTTTACTGTAATGTACTTCTCTTACAAACATCCGACTTACTAACACCCGCCGATATGAATGAGGTCCCATAGTTAAACTTAATGTTTTTTTTATGGGGAATAGCCCACCCAGGCACATAAGACAACACATTATGCTTCCCAAATCTTCCCAGGCAGCAGTACCTTACTGTTGATAGCTGCCTACTACCTACTAACTTTACCTGATGACTACTGTAATTTGTCATTCTATTTCTTTTTTCTCTTTAGATGTATATAAGGACTTAGGCTATGATATAGTGGGATTTTAAACATTGTTCTATAAGTACAGTAAGCACATTGGGTATGTTTCAACTTAGCGTCCACAGGAACGTAACTTTTATGTATTCTGGGGACTACTTGTACTCACAAATATTTTTCCAAAATATTCATATTGCTATCATGAAAGGATATAAGCTTAAAACAAGTAGAAAAAAAAACAAAGCTAATGCTAAATTTTTTAACTGAAATCCTAACAAATGTCAATCTATTAAAATTACAGCAAGCTGAGGAGAAGGCTGAGTTTATTAACATTATACCAAGCTGAGAAGATGACTGAGTCTATTAACATTATACCAAGCTGAGAGGATGACTGAGTCTATTAACATTATGCCAAGCTGAGAGGATGTCTGAGTCTATTAACATTATACCAAGCTGAGAGGATGTCTGAGTCTATTAACATTATACCAAGCTGAGAGGATGTCTGAGTCTATTAACATTATAACAAGCTGAGAGGATGTCTGAGTCTATTAACATTATACCAAGCTGAGAGGATGGCTGAGTCTACTAACATTATACCAAGCTGAGAGGATGACTGAGTCTATTAACATTATGCCAAGCTGAGAGGATGTCTGAGTCTATTAACATTATACCAAGCTGAGAGGATGTCTGAGTCTACTAACATTATACCAAGCTGAGAGGATGTCTGAGTCTATTAACATTATACCAAGCTGAGAGGATGGCTGAGTCTATTAAAATTATACCATGCTGAGAGGGAGGCTGAGTTTACTAACATTATACCAAGCTGAGAGGGAGGCTGAGTCTACTAACATTATAACAAGCTGAGAGGATGTCTGAGTCTATTAACATTATACCAAGCTGAGAGGGAGGCTGAGTCTACTAACATTATACCAAGCTGAGAGGATGACTGAGTCTATTAACATTATACCAAGCTGAGAGGATGTCTGAGTCTATTAACATTATACCAAGCTGAGAGGATGACTGAGTCTATTAACATTATACCAAGCTGAGAGGATGTCTGAGTCTATTAACATTATACCAAGCTGAGAGGATGGCTGAGTCTATTAACATTATACCAAGCTGAGAGGATGGCTGAGTCTATTAACATTATACCAAGCTGAGAGGATGGCTGAGTCTATTAACATTATACCAAGCTGAGAGGATGGCTGAGTCTATTAACATTATACCAAGCTGAGAGGGAGGCTGAGTCTACTAACATTATACCAAGCTGAGAGGATGACTGAGTCTATTAACATTATACCAAGCTGAGAGGATGTCTGAATCTATTAACATTATACCAAGCTGAGAGGGAGGCTGAGTCTACTAACATTATACCAAGCTGAGAGGATGTCTGAGTCTACTAACATTATACCAAGCTGAGAGGATGGCTGAGTCTACTAACATTATACCAAGCTGAGAGGATGGCTGAGTCTATTAACATTATACCAAGCTGAGAGGACAGCTGAGTCTACTAACATTATACCAAGCTGAGAGGATGACTGAGTCTATTAACATTATACCAAGCTGAGAGGATGTCTGAATCTATTAACATTATACCAAGCTGAGAGGGAGGCTGAGTCTACTAACATTATACCAAGCTGAGAGGATGGCTGAGTCTATTAACATTATACCAAGCTGAGAGGACAGCTGAGTCTACTAACATTATACCAAGCTGAGAGGGACTGAGCTGAGAATCTATTAACATTATACCAAGCTGAGAGGGAGGCTGAGTCTAGTAACATTATACCAAGCTGAGAGGATGACTGAGTCTATTAACATTATACCAAACTGAGAGGATGTCTGAGTCTACTAACATTATACCAAGCTGAGAGGATGACTGAGTCTATTAACATTATACCAAGCTGAGAAGATGTCTGAATCTATTAACATTATACCAAGCTGAGAGGATGTCTGAGTCTACTAACATTATACCAAGCTGAGAGGATGACTGAATCTATTAACATTATACCAAGCTGAGAGGATGTCTGAATCTATTAACATTATACCAGGCTGAGAGGATGACTGAGTCTACTAACATTACACCAAGCTAAGAAGATATCTGAGTCTACTAACATTATACCAAGCTGAGAGGATGTCTGAGTCTATTAACATTATACCATGCTGAGAGGGAGGCTGAGTCTATTAACATTATACCATGCTGAGAGGATATCTGAGTCTACTAACATTATACCAAGCTGAGAAGATATCTGAGTCTACTAACATTATACCAAGCTGAGAGGATGTCTGAGTCTATTAACATTATACCATGCTGAGAGGGAGGCTGAGTCTATTAACATTATACCAAGCTGAGAAGATATCTGAGTCTACTAACATTATACCAAGCTGAGAGGATGTCTGAGTCTATTAACATTATACCATGCTGAGAGGATGTCTGAGTCTACTAACATTATACCAAGCTGAGAAGATATCTGAGTCTACTAACATTATACCAAGCTGAGAGGATGTCTGAGTCTATTAACATTATACCAGGCTGAGAGGATGTCTGAGTCTACTAATATTATACCAAGCTGAGAAGATATCTGAGTCTACTAACATTATACCAAGCTGAGAGGATGTCTGAGTCTATTAACATTATACCATGCTGAGAGGGAGGCTGAGTCTATTAACATTATACCATGCTGAGAGGGAGGCTGAGTCTATTAACATTATACCATGCTGAGAGGGAGGCTGAGTCTATTAACATTATACCAAGCTGAGAGGGAGGCTGAGTCTATTAACATTATACCAAGCTGAGAGGGAGGCTGAGTCTATTAACATTATACCATGCTGAGAGGGAGGCTGAGTCTATTAACATTATACCAAGCTGAGAGGGAGGCTGAGAAGGTGGTAAGGTTTAATTAAGAACTTGGGTAACCCTGGTGAAAATGACAGATAATATTCACCAATTTATGTTAATTTCTCAACAGAGAATTCAGTCCACCTTGATCTCAGTCTCCTGTTGATAATGTAGTTTACAAAACTTCTCCGACAATATTTACATGACATGAAGACAACAAATGTCCAAAGTGAGAATAGGTACAAGAAATGCTCCACTGGATTCAACCTTAAGACCTTCTGACAGATATGAAACTGCAGTTGTTAAAGGTGTTGGGACTAAGCAAGGAAGGGAGTGTGTTATAGAATATTTGATGAAGTCTTTTTCTGTCTTTAATTCACTTTTCTATATGTTTACAATGGGATAACTCATTTAATGATGCCCTTATAAAAGAAAATGGGCTACTTTTAAAATAGCAACACAGGCATCTAATAAAGCTTTTCTCCTTAACTTTGAGACAAGGTTCTTAAAGATTAAAGGGTTACCTAATGTGGAGGCCTCACAATAGCCTCCCAACCTACTGTAAGAGATAATGATACTTTACCTGAAAGGAGCAGAGCAACGTTTCATCCACAGACATCATCCCTCCAGCATTATCAAACTCTCCACAGTAATTGGGGGCAGAGAACAAAGTAACTAACTGCCTCTTAGCAAAGAATTCGTATCCATCTTCAACAACCTGCAGACAAACAAAATTACTGAGTAATTGGGTTTAAATCGAAGACAAGCCTGACGGCCATATCATTAAACAACATCTACCCCTTCCGACGAAGAATCTTTTCGAAGGTATTGTTCCTTCAAGCGGTTTTTTTAAATGCTCGAACCTCTTCCACTTCGTGCGGGATGATTTTTTTAGGTCTGGTCATACTGTCCTCTTCGTTGATGCATTATGGTCATCTTTTCGCTGATGCATTATGGTCATCTTTTCGCTGATGCATTATGGGTCCTGTGTGTGTTTGTTTACTTTCGTTGGAGCCAAATTTAGTATTGTAGCAGCTCTCGTCATGGATATTTTTTCCTCCAAAGTCTCCCGGGATTTCTTAGTTTATTTGATTGGGGAGGAAAAAATTTTGCAAAATAAAAGTACTTGTGGGAAGCTTGTTACATTAAAGAAACAAGCATGGTTACAAATTGCAACATGTTTAAATGGTGAGGGATATGGACCTCGGCGATCAGAAGAACAGTTGAAGAAGATTTGGGAACGCATTAAAATAAAGTAAATATATATATATATATATATATATATATATATATATATATATATATATATATATATATATATATATATATATATATATATATATATATATATATATATATATATATATATATATATATATATTGTAGCTGAGTAGTTTAGTAGGTTAGATTAAAGAGGGTGCAGATGACTATAATCTCTGAGACAACTAACTTAATTCAGTTATATGGGAGGTAGAGACTTCTAATTTGGCGTGGGCGAACTTACTATTACTGAGACGGGGTAGCTACTGTGAAGTCCTCTATATTAGCCAAAATATTGTATCATATATGCTTAAGGCACATTCTCATTAAATATATAATCAAACTCCAGCTTTCAGTGAACTTATTTTATTATGCACCTAATTCAGCCAAATGTAAGTTTACCAAAATGAAATAATGTAATTGGTGATGAAAAATTAGAGCCTGCAGTATTTCACATATTATATCATGATCCACTGTATAAAAGGTGTTTTTGTATGTAATATTACCATCCTTGTGATAATGCCCTCCCAGTGAAATTTGCCTCTATCCATTTTGATATTTTTAGGCATAAACCTCCCCCGTTTATATTTTCCAGATGGAAACTCACTTATAAAACTGCTAAAAAGTTGTATTAAGTAACTTAAATGGACTTAATTTATTAATATATGCAACATAAAGGTTTGAGGTGATTTTCTCCCAGTGAAATTTGCCTCTATCCATATTAATATTTATAGGCAAGAACGACGCCAGTTTATATTTTCAAGATAGAAACTCACTTATAAAACAGCTAAAAAGTTGCATTAAGTAACTTAAATGGACTTAATTTATTAATATATGCAACATAAAGTTTTGAGATGATTTTCTCCCAGTGAAATTTGCCTCTATCCATTGGAATATTTCTAGGCAAAAACGTCACTAGTTTATATTTTCCTGACAGTAAATGCGGCTTACCAGATTAATACTAGCGTTAGTAAGATGGGATGACTCCAGCAGCTTGCCTTTGGCAATAACAAATTGACAGGCAGCACAGCTTTTACAAAATGCGTAATATGACAGGGGACACAGCTTTTGCACTGTCATAATATGGGAAGTAAAACCAATAATGTAAAAAAAATTTCATTTGTAACATTACCAATACGTGTTTCTTTATACGTTAATCGTATTGACACTAAATATTCAATAAAACTAACAAAATAATTATGAAGAGGGTGACGAAAAGCAGCTCATAGCTACCTCTTCAAAGTTAGGTGCAATTAGTTCGTTTTCCTGACACCACACTCTTTCGTGCGCTGCACTAAAAGGTTCTTCGCATTTAAAAATACGGCTTTCGACATGAAGATATTCTTCAAGGGAAGATGTTGTTTAATAATATGGCAGTGAATCTTCTTTAACCTACAACAATAAATATAAGGACAAGTAATGATATAATTGCAAAGGTGGTGAATGAATTTAATGGTTGTCCAAAATAAGAAAAGAGAAGGTAAATGTGAAAAAGTGTGTGTGTGGAAAGAATGTAACATATAAGTACTGCATAGTATTGGATATTGGTAAATTATGCAGGCATCCCGCGGGCCACGGAAACTCAGGTTACAGAAATTTTAAAATTTATTTCGTGTGGATTCTAGGTGGTTGCTACAAGACAGTGAAGGTCCCACAACAACAACAACAGTGCTGCTCAGTTCAATTCATTCCCCAGCTTGCGTCCGGATTGGAAATAATCGCAATCGTGAATTCGTGAATACTGAATTTAATTCCTTATGGAAAAAATAGGGCATGGTACTATGGCTACCAAGATTATCATAGTTGTCATAATAATTTAGGTTAGAAATGATAAATGTTTCAGAGATGGTTTTTATAGTAAAAAGTAATAATTAAAAAAATATATACTATACAGTGGTCCCTCAGTTAACGAACGCCTCGGTTAATGAAATTTCGGTTAACGAATTACCTTCCATAAGAATATTCAATTCGGTTAACGAAAAAATTCGGTTAATGAACTCCTTACGAATTCCTCTCAACATGATTTCGCTTGCTCACCAGCTGGAATATTAGTCCGCCAATATAGTAATCGGTTCTAGGACTTAAATTCATTACCATTTGAGTAAATATCAAGAAGGTTGTACTATTCAATAATTTTCCAAGTGTTATATTAAAATTTTTAGTCATTTTAACAATTATTTAACATAATTGAAGTACAGGAAACTAGTTTTTAATGCGCCAAACAATCGCTCAACTCACCAAACAGGCCTCAGTTTGTATCTCTGGTCAGTAGAGGTAACATCTTGCTTGAGACTCTTGAACATAAACTATTTTTACATTTTTACAGTACAATTATTTGTCATTCTGAAATTTATTTTACATATTGATTTAAAGAACATAATCTTGAATTACACCTAGTGAACTTAAAATTTTTTGGGAGAAATAACAGCATGAAGCATGGGGTGATTTCGCTTCCACCCCCACTTCCTTCTCTTCTCCCTTCTCCTCCAACCCCACTTCTAATTCCCATCAGCATCAACGAGGAGCCTTCTATATACACACCTCAAAGTAAGTGTATTTTACTGCATTATTTTTACTTTGTATATGTAATTTTCGGTGAGCTGGAACCAATTACCCAAAATCCCATTGAAACAATTGTTTCAGTTAACAAACGACCTTCTGGAACGAATTGTGTGCGTTAACCGAGGGACCACAGTATTTGTTTTCTCTACATATAATTCAAGTCTGAGTATGTAAATATAAACATGTATGGCGACCTGTGTTGTAATGGTCCGTCTGCTTGCCTCACAAGCAAGTGGACCCGGGTTTGATCCCCAGGAAGTGTGAACTATGAGCAAGTTTTTTGTATGCCATTTGCCTCTGTCTACTCAGCAGTAATTGGGGGCCTGGATGTTAATCGATTTGCAGATCGTGTTCTGGGGTAACAGTTAGCTGGTGCAGTTGGTGAGTTGTCCGGTCTTCTTTGACTATTTCCTTGATACTGGGTCATGCAACTCGTTAACTTAAGGCGTGGTTGTTGTGTCGGCGACAGCTTCTACATGTTAAACAAATTCACGCCTAGGTGGCCATTGGGCCGGCTTTCCTTGTTAGACGAGGGGCAACCATTATTATTTATTATTATAAACATGTAAACACGCACTTCCCATGGGACGTAAATCACACAGGATATTATAGTCTACCCTGGTAAATCCGTTTTCTCTAAGACAAAGCAAACGGATAAAAATTACAATACAATTGCAATACAGTACTGTAATCTAATGTGGCTTAGAAATAAAGAAAATATAATAAGACACTGAGTCTTAATCTCGACACACACACACAGTCCCAACCATTGTAAAAATTACCAATAACTTGTAATAAATCAGTGTATTCACTCCCAGTAAACACTACTCCTTGCACTGTCACTATGTTGAAATGAACAGTAGTTTGAGCTTTTCCCCATCTAGTTATTATATGTCTTATTTGTGTCACTCATGTTACTTGTATATTATTTGTAATTCGTAACCCATTCCCCAAATATGTAACTATATTTTCAGCCCTCTGGCTGCCAAGCTCTTTCAATAAACCGTTAATTATTCACGCACGCACGCACGCACGCACGCACACACACACAAAACAACGTCAGCTAGAGAAGGTACAGAAAAGGGCCTGCAGAATCATGCTCGGTGCAGAATACTCCGGCTACACCAACGCTCTCTCCACCCTGGAAATGCCATCCCTTAGTGACCTCCACCACCAAGCAGCTGGAAAGGTTTGGCAGGGGACTACTGCACCACCCTCACCATCGCCACCTCCTGCCACCTGCAACCCCCCACCCAACTCGCGCAGTCCGCCACTACAACAAAATTAAGCCCATAAGAGCCCGCACCGATAGATATAAGAACAGCACCATCCCATCTATTGTTAAAATAATAAACAACTCCTGATTTATGTACTGTACAGCCCTGTAAATGTATTCAATGCATATTATATCATTATGTCTAAATCAAATGTAAGTCTGTATATTTTCAGCCACTGGCTGCAACTCTATTAATAAACCGTTAATTATTATTATTATTATTATTATTATTATTACACACACACACACACCACCACCCCCGTGGACAGGCTACAGGCATGGACCATGGAGAACAAGGTCACCATCAACCACACCAAAACCGTAGTCATGCACATCAATACCGCCACCACTCCAGTGCAAGCCCCAGCAGTCACAGTGGGTGCCCATCCTCTCCAGCTGGTGCAGTCTGCCAAACTCCTGGGTGTAACCATAGACAACAAACTTGACTGGAAGGCCCATGTAAATAACACAGTCAAGGCAGCCTCATATCGTCTCTACATGCCACGATGACTTAGGTCACTTGGGACACCCACGCCAGGGCTGAGGACTATCTACAACGCCTTTATTCTCCCCAAACTAACGTATGTGTCACCAGCCTGGTCGTCTTCTCTCAACTCCAC